TAATATAGTGTTTAATAAAGAGATTCATGACGATTGTCACGAAAGGGCTTCCTAATATCATGATGTAAACCTCATGATAGTTGTTACGAGTTTTCTTTTAATTGAACATAAAAATCAGTCTATAAAGTTAAATCATCACCTGCGCTCATTAAAAATAGTCTCACTATAAAAGAATAGCCCAAAATACCTTCAAATAAAGTCAAAAGAACGAGAAAGAAATCCTAACTCTTTTTGAGAAGTAAGAACTTAGTACTGTTATGCCACTTGCTCATTAATTTTTAGATAATCTTCTTTCAGATGGTTAAATATGCATTACAATATCTTTACATGATCAGAATTTAACAGAAAAAAATCCATAGCTGTTGTGAATACTATGATGAAGCTCATCGTAGCATTTTTCAAATTAAATTATAAAAATAATTAGTTGGATAAATAATTCTGACATCGCCTGCGTATTTCATAATTCCGCGAACCTCCCATTTGAAAGACTATCAACCATGTATGTAAAATTTTTTATTTTGCTCATGAAATTTTAAATTGCAAAATTGAGAAGAAAAAAAAAAAAAATTTGTTGTTAAGCTGGGGATTAGTACACTCAGTTTGAGGGGCAATTTTGTAAATAAGTGAGGGTTTGCAAATATAGCTGGTAAGGCAACTTGTAAGGTTAATATGGTTATCTTCCTTACTTTTACCTCGTAGAATGGTCTCTCACGTGGATTATCATTTATCTTGTAAAATTTATTATTTGCTACTGTTATATACATAGCAATTATTGTTTATGTAATATATATACACACACACACACTTAGTATTGTGTGATGGGGGTGCATGTTAGAAGGGGGTAGCTTTAGATGAAGAGAGAACTGTGGATGAAGTAACAGGTGAGGGTAAGTGGAAGGCCAAGAGAGATGCAAATGGAAATGGAAACGTGGGAGTTATGATAGTTGTTTCTTCTTTTTGCAGGAAGGGGGTGGTCTGAGTAGACAAATGCATCTATTGGAATTAGATTTGGCAGGATTTTAGAGGCTTATCATTTTTCTTCTTTCAACTGCTATAGACATACTTTGACATGGATGGAAGTTTTGATGGACCCAACTACTCATTGCCTCCTAGACTTCTAAACCTCTCTTAATGCATATAATTTCTTTACTCTCTATCTCTGTATGTATGTATGTATGTATGTATGTATGTATGTATGTATAACACACCTGTGCCTATGGATTTGACTGTTTGCATTCTTCATTACCATGGACTTATTTCATTTATTTTATTCCAATTACTTTCTGTGGGCAGAAAAAATAATACTACACTTGATAGATAGTTTGTGAATTGAAAAATATTTTTCAATCACTTTCCTGATGTTCCACGTGGGAGTGGATGTAGGTTGTGATCGGAATGAATCGTGATACATGATATTAAAGTTAAAATGTAAAGATCATTCACAAATTCATGAAATTATAATCAGCAAGAACACTAAATTTTAAAAAGAAATGATTGTGACGTTTTATATCATCTCAGGTGAATGTTTCTAACCGTGGAAATACGTTTTGAAATTATTCATATATTTTAGTTAAGTAATAGTATCTTCTTTACTACCAAGGGCCATTTCATTTATTAGTTATGATAATATTTGAAAAAACTTAATATGGAAGATCATGCCATAATTTATCCTTTTAACAAAAAATAAATAAAAAAAAAAAGAAAAAAGATCATGCCATAATATCACTATTATTATTTAAAAAAATTATATTTACAATTTACTTTTGAGGGGTGACGATCCATGTTCGCTGATCGGGTTTGTGTCGTATTAGGACATGAATATCTTGCTATATAGATCAACACAAACATAACACAATTATTAATTGTATGACACAAGTAATACAACATGACATTTATTGTCAGATTTTAAAAAAAAAAAAAATAAATAAATAAATAAATAAACAACTGACACGACATGTATAACTCGTTTAATAAATATGTTAAGACTTGACATGAAAACAAAACGACAAAACAAATTTAAGCTATTTTTGACACAAATACAAAACATTCAACTAAACGATTTATTTATAAAATGAACATGACACATTTGTTTGACATGTTTAGATAAATAAATTAATCGAGTTACAAGCTGATTGGTGAGTCAAACATGAATTTGATACATTTAATTACTATGTCAATTCGAATCGATTGACAAGATTATAATCCAAATGTGAATAAGTCAAACTCTAACCTAATTATTTTATGTGGTGTTCGAGTCTGTAATATATATCATTTTAATTTTCTTGATGGAGGATGATTAGCTACTGTACTGTAGATTAGACCAATATGATGAAATCACTTTTTCTTTACTTAAATGCCTAGGGAAGGACTAGAAAAAAAAAAAAGAAAAAAAAGAAAAAGAAAAAGAAGAAGAATATGGGCGTTGTATGCCTTGTGGAAGCTAATTAATTAAAAGTGTAATATTATATGTATGGGGGAATAAATTTTACACACGTGGTTGATGAGTGGCATCTTAAAGAAATTTTAGACTCCGTCGGTTACAATTATTTATGGGGGAATAGATTTTAAACGTTTACAAACTAATAATAGTTTTAGGAGATTATAGATTACTATAATTACCATTGTATGAAAAATTATAACTTTTTTTTTTTATTGAAGTAATGTCTTATCATGAATTCTATGTCTTTTTGTCATGTACAAATATTTAAACGAGGATTGCATGAAAATTATAGTCAAAATTTTGTATTAAAATTCATATAAAATAGATCACGAGAATCACAATTTTAAACACTCTATCTTTTTTCTAAATTATATTATTAACTTTGATTATCTCATATAATTTCATTGTATGATATTTTAAACTTATTATTTTATTGTAAAATCATTTTAAATTATTTATTTTTGGTTAAATCAAATCACTTTAATATTGACAATATGATAATATAATTTATGCATTATTTTTATTTATTAAAATATATTAATTTAAAGGAAAACACATAAAAAATATCATGAGAGAGACTCGTGGTAGCATTATGTTATCATAAAACAAATGAATTATTATTGGGTCCAACTCACGAATGAATTTTATCCAACTTGTTAATGTGGCCCAAATAAACATTCGACAAGTGTTAAAATTAAACTGGGCATTGCCTAACTTTTGCTTTTGGACATGTGTTTTAAATCTTAACTTTTACTTTTATACACTTGTTTTAAATTTATTAAGCCACATCAGATAGTTGGCCCAAGTATTTTTCAAAGCAAAGTGTTGAGTAAAAAAAAAGTTTTAAACTGATTTGAGATAATTTCACTTACCTCCCCTGAGGTTTGGCGTAATTATAAGCGGTACCCTTTACGTTTCAAAAATTACACCGTCCTCCCTCAACGTTTGCTCCGTTATAACACTTTACCCCCTTTAATCAAAGTCAACGTTAGTCAATGATGATTTCTGATGACATAAGCTATTTTTAACCCTATAATACCACATTTGCCCTTATTATCTTTGCAAATGCATTTTAGCCCATACTTTTGTATTAAAATAACCTATATACCCAGAATAAAAAGACAAAAAAGCTAGAGAGAGGGGGGCAAGCCGAGAGTTAAGAAACAGCGGCTGAAGCTTGCAAACAGCGAACTCGAATTGGAATTCTCCTTCTCCGCTTCTCTCCTCTCTCCGTCTCTGCAATTCTCACCAAAGAACACACGTCAATGACGAGGACGAAAACCAACATACCCAATTGCAATCTACAAGCACCTCATCCACTCTTACGGCAACGTGACCTAGTATATGGAATGGGTAGCCACCATTGCTGTCATCGGTGTCCCGACATTATCGAAGGAAAAAGGTGACCCTTGATGCCGAAAAAATGAAGAAACCAAGTCACAGAAACTCGGACACGATGCGGACTTCCTTAAGAGTGCAAACGTTGCCGTCGCCGACGATGACATGACAGCTCTTGAGGAATGCCATTGGAGCTTATCGTCGAATCGCCATAGCTGCTCGGAAACTGAAAGATATGGGTTTTGATTTTTTGAACAATCTAAAATGGTATACCGATATGGGTTTTGATATATGTAATAGGTTTTGAACTTTTGATTCTTGCCGACAAATACTGTTGATGCTGAATTGGTGAAATCCGTTAAGGAATTGGCTCGGATGTTGCAGGTTCTTGGAAGAATTCATTGAATTTTGAGTTATTATTATTTTTGGATTTGATTTGATAATGTGTTGTTTGAATTTTCTGTTTTTGTCAAACTATGAATTCATTGATTTTAGGCAGAAGAAGCCTAAAATCACACCATAACATCAAGCTAGTAGTTGTAGAGAGAGAGAGTGGCAAGTCTAGAGTTGAGAGACAGCGGCTGAAGCTTGCGAACAGCGAACCCTAACTAGAACAGCAGACGATGGAAACTGAAAGATATGGGTTTTGATTTTTTGAACAATCTGAAATGATATGCCGATATGGGTTTTGATATGTGTAATAGGTTTTGAACTTTTGATTCTTGCCGACAGATAGATTAACTGAAATATATGGGTTTTGAACTTCTGATTCTTGTAGATTTTGTAGTTTGCAGTTGCAGAGAGAGAGGGCAAGTTCAGAGTTAAGAACGAGAATAGAGATGGAGGCGATTGAGGAGGCTGAAATGATTTGCCCCAAAATTATATATATATGTGACCTTGATTAGTTGATTTAGAAAAAATAATTTAATGTGATATTAATAAAATATTAGGGACAATATAGTAATCTCAAAAAAAAGATATTCTTTATGTGATATTAATAAAATATTAAAGGTTGTTTTAATCATTTAATAAGGTCAATGACCGGAATAAAAGGTCGATTAATTTAAAAGGAGGTCAGTGTAATTTTTGAAACATAAGAAATATCGCCTCTAACCACGCCAAACATCAGGAGTGGGTAAATAAAATTATCCCAACTGATTTGTATTTGTCAGTTTCACTGAAATGGCAAACTGAAGCAAACAACATTTTCTAAGAAAAATAAATAAAAATTACTCCATTGACCCGAAGTCACAGATTCCAAACAAAAAACTAATCTCCCTGTGGCGAGCAAAGGTTGGTAGACCCCGCAGTGATGGCCCACATACACTGACTATTTTTTTTTCTTTTTTTCTTTTTTCTTTTTTTATATCAAAATAACCATCATTATATTTAAATAATCTCAGTATCATTACCACATTAAGTAGTTTGAAGATTTATTTTTTCCCCTTTTCTGGTACGTTGCGAGTAACCTGTTTGTGTGTGTGTGTGAGAGAGAGAGGGTGTCACTGTTGCACTGCTTATTATATCTGTCGTATAGAGAGAGTAGTACCCTAGACAACCTTAAGAACTGAAGATGAGAAAGGAATAAGTTTCCAGGAAACATTCCATCCAGCGTTTACTAGTTGACCAAACAACACCACCCAACCCATCTGCCCATGTGTGGAAGCAAGCACAAATGGCTTGACCACCCAAATCTACAAAACACACACATGCATATCACACACACACACACCCTCTTTAGCTAAGTAGTGATCATTTAGGTAGAATATATATTATATAAGATCAGATCAATAAGCCAATACAAACAATATATTACTATATATATATAGTTTGAACAAATGGAAGCAGCAGCTGGACAACAAGCTGCAGGCAGTAATTATGATCATCTGCAGGTCTCCTTCTCCAATCCTACACAAGCAGCAGCAGCTATCCATGAAATGGGAGGGCTCTCTCAGTTTGAAAACCAAGTCCTCTGCTTCTTGGCCCCTAATTCGCAGTCTGCCCAGATCACCGCGTCACACACTACTCTCAAAGACACTCAAACTGCACCCAACAATACTACTACTCATGACCTTGTTAACAGACCGGCTTGGAATAATGATCAGGTATATATATATATATATATATATATATATATACATATATATTAGATCTTTAATGGGTATTTGTTTGTTTATCATTTTCTCTCTCTTTAATTTGTTGATTATATATTTTTTATAGTGTTGATTCATGAGATCTGTGTTTTATATATGTTTATTTTGTGAATCTAAAATTTTAGTTGAGGACTTCATTGGATCACAAGGCCAGTGAAGAAAATTGCACTGCTGTTAGCGATGGTGGCAATTCATGGTATGTATTTTATTTACCCTACAAAATTAGCTACTTTATGCTCTCACTCTATCTGAATCATATATATATATATATATATATATATATGAAAGAGATTTGCAGCATACTTTTTGTAAAGCCTGTTCTAGTGATCCCCTAGAGAAGCTTCTTTATGTTCTCAATCAAAATCCAAGAATATATGTGTATATATATCCAAATGGAAGCGAGATACAATGGAGTTTGTTAATTTACACTATGCCTTTTCTACATCATCTCTCTCTTGCCTTTTCTGTTTGTGTATATATATGCGTGTGTGAACCTAGAAAAGCTTCTTTATGAATTCAGTCAGATCTAAGGAGGTCTACCCTTATATGGAAGAGGTTTCCAGTGGTGCTCTGATACAGCGTGCCTTTGTATGGCATGTCCCCTAGCTCTCTCTCTCTCTCTCTCTCTCTCTATCTCTCTCTCTATATATATAATATTTAGAAGTATATATATATAATATATAAATGTGTGTGAGAGAGAGAGAAACGTACAACTTATATGGAGAAGCTTTTTGATGCGCTCTCAGTCAGAATCTAAGGATTTGTAGCCATATATGGAAGAGATTGCAGTTTGAAGTAGGCTTTTACGTCATCTCCTGTGTGTGTGTGGGTGTGAAGGGATAAGTATTTCTTTACTTACCCAATTACTAATATTCTTGATACTCATTGATGCCCAAATCCGCACATGTCCATCCACTGTTTTTTAAGTCTTCAAATGCTAACCAAAAGTATTTGTGGATGAATATATATATATATATATATATATATATATTATATATAGTAACTGGTGTTTGGTTGCAGGTGGAGGAGCTCATCCTCAGATAAGAACAAGGTGAAGGTAAGGAGAAAGCTTAGAGAGCCAAGGTTCTGTTTCCAAACAAGGAGTGATGTTGATGTGCTTGATGATGGTTACAAATGGAGAAAATATGGCCAGAAAGTTGTCAAGAACAGCCTTCATCCAAGGTACACATCATTCTTCCATTGCCAGCTAGCTCTTTCAATCATACATATATATGTGTGTGTGTGTGTGTGTATAATCAGATTCATCGCTTTTATTCTTATTAATTAATTAGTTAATATATATATATATATATATATATATATATATATATATATATGCTTCTGATTATTATAATTGCATGCTTGACATGTTTTTGTAAGTTGATTTGAACTACTGTTTGCTTAAATTCATGCATAATATTTATACATAAAGCAATTTTAACAAATAATAATATTTTCTACAATGGGATTAATTAGGATAATCGAATCGAATATCCGTTTTTCTCAGTAAGGTAAAAATATTTTATTGAGAAGATGAACTTGTAAGTTTTCTGGCAATTCATCTGACAAAAGGTTACAAGTACATAGAATATGGATGACTCATAATAATAATTGCTTTCAGTGACATCAAGTAGAAGGGAATATTGATAGTACCAGGCTTCAGCCGTTTAGGCCTACTTTTTCATAGCCAATAGAGAGAATAATTTAGGTGTTAGTTTATCTAGATGTATGAGCTCAAGTTGAACCGAAGTGTATTTCTTCCAAAATTGTAAACGTTTACTTGAGAAATCACTTTGGTCTTAGAGTTTAAGCTTTGGGAATGGGGTTGTTACTTAAATATATATATATATATATATATATATATATATATATATATATACCCTCCAAAATGTTAAATCCATATATAGAACTTTTGGATATGTACATTGACATTGGTTAGTTTCAAACTTGTTTAGATTTTCTTTCACATTTTTATATTGATATAAGTTAGATATATCAACTCTAATTTAGCCTTATATCTTGTTTGTACATTCTTTGGTTTTGATTGATTTTCAAGTTGTTCTTTCATAGTACTCATGGAACTAGTGAAAGATAAAATTTAACATCAGTATGTAAAATTCAAAATTAACAATTTACGGGAAAAAAAAAAAAGATTCAAAATCAATACAATAACCTAAAGAAATCAAGTAAAATTCATCACTTTAATCAAATCACATTAAAGTAATATATATATGTTTGAGTGTGTGTGTGTGTGTTAAAAATTAACATTCATGGGATTTCAAGGTTAAAAACAACACATCACTATGCATCTATTACATAATGTCCATTGCACCTCACATTCAAATCACTACATCCAGAACAATGCTGCCATTATCACTATATGTGGAGATTAATTATGACCCTAATTTAAACCTCTCATTCCAACAAAACAAATATAGACTATGAATTTACAGAAAAAAAATATATATATATAGACTATGAAGCTTTACTTATTTCATGCATGAGAAGACAAATCCATCAATCAATCAAGTTTTATTTGTCTGTACGTTTACTCATCAATCAAGCTATGTTTGACTAATTGACTGGAAGTTCTGATGATAACTGTGTGTGTGTGAATGTGAATATGTATCTTCAAAACCACTGCTGCATGTTAGTCATTTAGGAAATGATTCCAACAAAGGGAGGGAGCCTATATAGAAGTAATGTACATGACTGAACCTTCACCAACCAATTAAGGTGGTTCAATTGAAAAAGTAAATTGAATGATACCTTAAAAAGGATGGTTTATTGTATTGAAAGGTACCGGAATATTCAAAAGCTAATAAGAGTTTTCTCAAGCTTGGTGATGAAATTAATGATGGTTATAAAGTTTGATAAAGATGTAACAAGTAATAAAGACTTCTAAAAACTTCATCGGATATGGAAAATGAAGCATATGCATGCAATTGAATCCTGTCAAATACATTATAAGATGAGTAACATCTCAGTTTTGATAGCCGGCGCCAAGGACTTGGTTTTAGGCTCTGCTGCTGGGCTTTGCTTTTAGCAATTCCATTGCTGAGCTGCAAAAAATGAAGAATCTACATACATACATGTATGTATAAGGAACATGAGAAAAGTTAAAAGACCTGTTTGCTTCAGTTTTTTAAAAACAGTTCTCAAGAATTCAGAAAATAGAAAATTGTTATCGGAGAATTATAAGAGAATTTTATGAGAACTTGTCCTTTTTTAACTGAGTTTTCAAAAAACTGACAGCCAAGCAAAAGTTTCTTATAGTTTTCTGATTTTCAGTTATATGAAATAAATAAAAAAAATTGAACCAAACAGACCTTAGGGTTTAGGACTTTTCTGAAGTTAGAAAATCAAGTACTTCTGGAGCATAAGTTCTAACAACATTGAAAATGGCAGATAGAAAAGCTTTAAGACCTCACAATGTTTCTATCAGGCATGGAAAGGTACTGAACTAATGACTTTGATAACCAACTTGATGGATTTGTTTAAACAATACTACATATTGACATTAACTTAATTGATGAACATGGTAATATATTGTGTATATATGCTTTTGTGCTTTTATTATGCATATAGTTATCATGTACTGTTGAAAGCTACAATATCAAACTTATGAGCCATCATATGGGAGTCTGATAGTATATATACTAAGCTACTAAATAGTATACACACATCTAGTTTAAGCGATAGTGTGATTAGTGACAGAAATAAGTTCTGGATTTGTACTCGATCTCATTCTCAAAAAACACAAGCAATGATTCTTCTTCAGTGAGATAGGATTTGTAGTTGTGCGATAATTTAGTATATAATTGATTAGAAAAACTGTGCTTCAATTTGAGTAATTAGCTTTATATTGCCTACTGGCATATCCTGCAAGTCAAAATTGAGACCTTGGATCCGAAACAATATTATACAGTAAAAAATGGATAATATTAGTGGCTTAGGGCTGTTTGGTTCAGTTTTTTAAAAATTGTTCTTTAAGAACTTAGAAAACAGAAAACTGTTTTCACAGAATTATAAAATATAGTTCTTTAGAAAACAGAGGTTATCACTTAAAAAACATTTTTCAAAAATTCAAAAAACAGAAAATTGTTTTAAGAGAACTATAAACAATAATTCTATGAAAATAAACCTTTTTTGTAATTGTCAGAAAAAAGTTCTCAAAAATTATCAACCAAGTATAGCCTACAACCTAAGTGATGACCAAAGTTACTAAGCCTACAACCCAAGTCCTCAAAAACTATTCTCATAATTGAACCAAACATATCCTTAGTTACTGACCAGATGCACGTCTGAATGTAGTACTTTTTAAATGGTTGACATTTATGGGTTGTCTAAGTAAAGAAAGAAACTAAAATTGCGTTTCTCGAGTTCTGTTTAGATAGCTTCATTTGGAAGAATTATGACTGTTGCAGTGGATCTATCTACACTGATCTCTTCATTTTCCTTCAAAACCAAGTCTTATTATTCTACTTATTCTCACCTTTGGAATTCTCAATCTAGAATCATTTAACTTAAATAGATAATACCTATGTTTTTTTTGTCAAAGATATGACTAGATTTACAAATAGAGCTACTAATCGTTTTATGCTTATCATGGCATTATGTTGTTTTTGACATTTATCATATGGTACTTTGCAAGGTTGCCTACGACATTTCTCATGCCCTCTATATCACCTATATCTATCTATCCATCTATTTTTGTGTGTGTGTGTGTGTGTGTGTGATGTAATACAAATTCATCAACTGCATTGACCTTAACCATTCATTTTTTACTCTAGCCTTTTAGTGTATAAAACAGCATGCATGCTCAATTTACAACAATGTTTATTGCATACATATAATCAACAGTACTACATCGCTAAGATTAAAGTATAAGAGTATTTAGTGTTTGTGGTGTAACTGAAAGCCGTTTTAGAGGATGTGAGAGAGACAGAGTGTTTGGGTGCTGAAGCTTATAATTTTCTGATTTTTGAACAGTAAATTTGTTGCCGCCCCCAAACCAAAGCCACTTAAATTGTTGTGCTGTGTATGTGGGGCATGTTTATATTTCTGTCATTTTCTTAATTGTGTTATTGATTTGCAACGTCTATTATAACATGTTTCTCATTCTGTGGTACAAAAAAAATGGCAGAAGTTACTATCGTTGTACGCATAGCAACTGTCGAGTGAAGAAGAGGGTTGAACGATTGTCGGAGGATTGTCGAATGGTGATAACCACGTATGAAGGTAGACACAACCATTCTCCTTGTGACGACTCAAATTCATCCGAGCATGAATGCTTTACCTCATTTTAATGAGAAGTAAAGAAAATGTTGTGTGATGATGATTTTTAATGTACGATATTAGTAATTAATTAAGTTTGCTTTAATCTTTGTTCAAGAAGATGGAGGTCATTTCCAGCACAGTAAACATCATTATTTTAAACTTGATTGGCTTGGAAATGGTATTGTTAGTTGTGAAAAGTATCAGTGATCAATATTTATGTATCAAGAATTTTAGTCCTTGCGATTATCATATTAAAATTGTAGTTCACAGAACTTCATGATTTCCCTGGATTAATGTCATTAGGGATACAATTCATTTCACCACATAAGCAACATATAGACTTTATGGAACTCAAAAATAATAAGATTTTTTTTTTTTTTTTTTTTTTTTTTAAGGGATCAACAATGATAATGTTAGGCCTCTTAGAACACCCTAAAATCTACCACTTCAGCCTTAGTGCACTAGACAAAAATTGAAAAAAGACCATTAAAAGAAGTTTCCTATCTATTTCCCCTAGTCATTCCCTTCCACTCCCCAACCAATCATATATATATATATATATATAGCATTATAGCTTAGTAAACAGAATGACCTGGTCCAAGTGATGACCAATTAAATGTTATCTTAGTCTACCCAGCAAAGTCTTCTCAACTAGTCTTTCCTAGAAAGTGAGGGAAAGAGAAATTAATTCAAGTCAAATACAATAATTTCTTTATTAATTGCAGACTTTTCTCAAAGGACTTGTGAGCCATTAAATACTGCCAAAGACCTCATCCAATAGGACCATCTCGCCTTCTTCATACCTCCAAAAACACAAAACATGGCCACACACAGACCATCCTCCAGTTCACCAACACCCTCCATGGCTGATCATCATGAGGCCGATGAGCCGAAGGAGTACTCACCCCAAAAAATCCAATACAACTTCAACCTCATGTGCCCCTTCAACATCCCTTCTACCCCAGAAGAAACCGCTTTTCGAATCATCAGAAACTTGAGTTATTTCAGATTATACTACACACTGTTTGTGTGGGTAATACTCTGCATAACCCTTGTGCCGGAGCGAAAAGTTTCATTAATCTTTTTGGTAGCCATGTCAGCTGTGGCATACCTGTATGCATTAGTATTATATTTACTGCCCAGCAATTTAGTTGTGCCCTATAAGACTATCGACAAGAGATTGGTTTTTGCTTTGCTAGCTATTGCCACCATGGTTGAGCTGATTTTAACACGCGCTGCAATTCATCTTTTTGTGACTTTGGCTGCAACCATACCAGTTATTTTGCTTCATGCAGTTTTATGGGCGGTGGGAGATCATCTTTTCGCGACGGAAGAGGCTTGTGCTGCGGGAGAGTTGTTTCCATTTGTATACAAGAAGATTGATGATGCCAAGGCAGTCGATTTAGTCTGATTAATTACATGGTACTTTTTACTGTAAGCAAAGAGGTAAGACTGTATGCATTTGACCTTCCTCAAATGCTACAATAACGAGAGGTTCGTGTGCTAAAGTTTGCCCCATTTTTAATAAGAATGTTTTTCTCTTTGATTAATATTAGCTGGTTAGTATATTTGAGAGAAATGGATGTGTTTCTACCAAATGTCTTGATTGCTTATATTGATTGTATTGGGGATGAAGTTGTTGACGCTCAAGCCTACCCAATTGGAGGTTTTTTGGGAGCTAGAAAAAGTTTGTATTTGGGCGAGTTCCATTTTTGTTTTGTGTTTACTTTTATGAAAAAAAAAAAAGAGTGCTTTTGTTGTACTGTAATTTATTTCGAGAAACAGAAACATATTGGTAACCATTACCAAAATATTTCTCCTTTTCTTGTTACATTTTGGATTGGATTGGATTGGATATTTTTTGGGGGGGGGTTCCAGATGAATTTTTATTCCGTATATCATCCTTTAATTGATGGCAAATTGGCAATGAAGTGAGAGGTTTTACTTATCCTCTTGGACCAAGACATAATTAATACTCCTTTAGATTATTTATAACTAGAGGGAGTAGCTAACAAACAAGATAAATAGGGTAATAGCTAACAAATAAGATAAATAAAAATTATTAAATTTTATATCACTCAACTGCTTAACTGAATCATTCATCAAATTGGTCCCATTATCACATTCAACGCTAAAAAAAACTCTGGTACAGTATTTCAAAATATTTTAAATTTTTTTTTCTCTCTTATCTTTCCCATCCCAAGTGACCCCAAGGTCAGAGAGATTCAAACCATCATATGTGGTTGTTATCAAAACTTAAAAAATAAAATAAAATAAAATTCCATATACTTTGTCCGCACTTCATACAAGATGGTGTGAGACAATTTTAAATAAGTTTGTGTATTAAATAAGAGAATCTTCAATAATATGTTAAAATATTATTTTATGTAATATATATAATGTCACATATAATGTGTAATTTTTATTTTTTTATTTTTAACCTTATGTTAAGATACACTGTCATGTTATCAATGTATAAAATTATAGTGTATTTTACCCAAATTTTTTGCACAATCACATCAGCATATTTTATTTCTCCTCCGTCTTCCTTATTTCATTAACAAATTAACCTATACTAAATTAGGTTTGTAAAAGTTATGTGAGCCTTGACATGAAACGTGGTTAGTTGTTATTGACACATATATTTTTACACAAACAGTATAAAATAATGACTATAATTAAAGATGAGTGATCTAAAATTTATTATGACACATCAAATTTACAAATATATATATATATATAGACACACACAGTACCTTTTTTTTTTTTTTTTTTTGTGATTTGTGAAATTTACCCAGAGTACGTTCTAAGTTCTTTAATGTCTTTTCTCAAAAGCCAAATTAGAAAGTTTCCTATTTTGTTCCCCTTGTGACCTTGTCAATCTCCCCCCCCCCCCCCCCCCCCCAGCCCACACCATTGAGTATTGACTGGTACACAGAATGACCTAGTCCAAGAGACGGACAAATTAAATGGTACAATATTTTTCCACTCCACCCGTCAAACACTTCCCAACCATTCATTCTTCCTAAAAAGTGAGGGAAAGATAAAAGTCAAGTGAAATACAATTTCGCAATTCAATTCCATTAATTGCATAACGAACTATATACATATGTATATCTATATATGTATCAATATAGTTCCAAATTAACCAATTTAAAAGCACCATATATCTCACTTCTTCATACCTCTAAACAAATAGGGCCGGCTGGAGTGATATACGAGTGAAGCGATTACGTAAGGCCCCATCTAATAAGAAGGCTATATAATTTTTTTGATTAATTACAATGACACCCCCTGAAGTTTATCTTATTGACAGTCATATACAAGTTAGCCTACTTTTGAATAATGACACCCCTTAAGCTTTGCTGCCTTTGACAAAGACATCCATTGAGGGGCTGACATGTGATAAAATGACCCAAGTGCCCTTTAACTTATGAAATAACACTTTTGAATAGCAAAATTACTAAATTACCCATTCTAATAAATTTGAAATGTCCAAAATAACCTCTCCCACATCTCTTTATATATAAATATGAACAATACATAACCTGACATATGTATATATATAGATGGATTCCCCAAAGATCTCGTTCGCAAAACAGCGGAAGGTCTTCTCAAGGTGAATTTCATGTGTTCTCTATTCTAAAACCCTTGCATGGTTGCCGAGAAAGTTGAGAAAAATTATAAAGGAAAATACTATCACATATGCTTACAAATCAGATGTTTTATTTATTAATTTTTTTGATTGCCAAGATTAGAATCATTTTGTCTATTCTCTAACGCTAATTAGGCATTCTGGTTTGGTTGCATATGTCTTTTCCTTTACCAAACATCTAAATCATATATGTATAAGCTTCACTGATTAGAACATGATTCTAACTTCCATGGAATTCCATTAATAATTGCATTTAAGAAGAAAAGTATGAAAAGTTGTAATTGCATTCAAGAAGAAAATATTGAGAGTTGAAATTCACACACACACACACATGCATGTATATATATATATATATAGGTTTAGCTTTTAAAGCAAATCCATTTCTGGAGCAACGAGAAGTACGCATGTAAAATCCTGATTTCAAGTTGCAGATTGTGCGATTTAATATGAACAATATATAACCTGACATATATATATATATATATATAGAAGTTACATGATCTGGGCTGGGTCTCTGCCAATATGGAGATATTATATATATATATAGAAGTTACAGACGATATAAATATATCGACTCACATATATTGATGTGGCTAGAACAAAGTGCTCTGAGCCTTTTGCTTCTCGCACAAAGGAATCAAATGAATCTGATTCAGTTGATTCTGGTGATACCACCACCACCTCCGTCGCAACCTCCGACCACTGTCTCATGATGCAAATGGATTCGAATTAATCATGGATCTGGATTGATCTGTGGGTTGCTCCTCTGTTTTTTTTGCACAGATCAAGCATGGTGGTGGTGATAAGAGATGTGATATTGTACCATCACCGATGCGAGGAGAGAGACGGTGGCGGTGGTTGTGGTTGAAGAGAAGTGGCGGCGAGATGTGGTTGAGGAGATGGTGGCTGCGGGATGTGGTTGAGGGTAAGTGGTGGTGGCTGTGGTTGAGGGGTTGTGGTTGAGGAGATGATGGCGGTGGGTAAAGAGAAAGGGGGCCGGATCGATGGGTTTAGAAGAGATTGGTAGAAGGGCAAAAGTGTCATTTTAAAAATATAATATTTTACAATTAAAATTAGTTAAATATTGATGGGCAATTTTGTCTTTTCAAACCTTTTAAGGGTTTGTTTGGCTCCATATTTTGTCAGGGGGTGTCATTGTTCAAAAAACGTCTAACTTATATATGAGTGTCATTATAGCAAATCTCAGGGAGTGTCATTGTAATTAATCCTAATTTTTTTATTTCTTTATATATTATAACTTTCCTAAAACAATTATTGTATTTCCTCTAATTATTAAACTTCATCGCATAAAGAAATTTTTGACTACCTAAAAAATTTCTATTTTTTATCTTCTTTTTGAAGGGCCCCAACCTAAATATTTTATTTTCTTATATTATTAAACCTCAACAAATACAAAATTTAGTAGTGTGCCCAAAATATTTCTATCCTTGTATTATTATTATTATTATTATTTTCTCTATCATCCTCATTACATTAACATATACACACACACATTAAAATTAAATATTAGATATATATTTAAGTGAAAATTGGTGAAACTTTATATATTTTTCTAAGACTCCTATTAACTTTTATTTTCTCTTTTTTTTCTTATTCCTCAGATTTTT